GGAAATCCAGGTTGTACGCCGGTTGTCCAAACAAAAGATTTGTGATTCCGTGAGAGAAGGAGATACCACCGCCGTCGAAGGGTCGAGGGCACTGTCTGATGTAGGCTGTGAGATAGATTGTGCCACCTATGTATTCTTAGCCTGCCCGCCCGTGAGGGTCGTGACGAGGCTGCCATGTGTGTGTGTGTGTGTTCCCACCACCTTTGCACCGATAAACAAGCCGTTTGAGGATCGCTTTCGGTGCGGAAAAGTGCACAAGCTGTAGCGTAACAAGGCCATCATTCCGCACCCAAGCGTTTCTCATTTCGTGCCCGCGTCGCTGCGTTCGGTGCCGATATGTACTCTATTCACAATCCGTTTCATCGATAACTGCGCCAATTGGCGACGTTCTGCAAAAAACACGAGTGCCCAAGCCTACTCCTAACAGGTGAACACTTCTCCCGTCGTTGTTTCCTTGCACCAACCCCTAAGTTCACTCGTTCACACCCGGTTTGTCCTCTCTTTGCGGCGTCCTTCAACTGTCATTTGGGACACGTGTGTGTCGGTATGGTTCTGCTGCTACGTGTGTGTCGGTTTGGTTCTGCTGCTGCTGCTGTGTTCTTTTTTTTGCCTCGTCCACACCGTCATGGAGACAAGCGCCGCTGCTGTGCCTCCTAACGAGAAAGATGCCTGATGACGAGCGGTGAGCCGTGAAGGGTAGTACAGCAATGTGTGCAAACAGCACATTGTGTGATAAAAGAGCGCCGCGATTGCTCCCTTTCATGTGACAACATTGATGTGACGACACGGCCGCTCATGGCTGATGTGTACATTTTCCTGCTGTATTCCGCAAGTAACTACTGCTGCTGTTGTTCTCGACAGCAGCGGCGCGGGTTCATCATGGTTCGTCATCAGGTTATGTATGTATGTATGTGGAGATCATCTTCCGCAACAAACTGCTGCTCGTGTCGATGGATGTCCATCGTAGTTCGTGTGTAGCCTTTTCCGCTTCCGCGACTGCTGCTGTTGTTGCTGTTGTTGTCGACAGTACCTGCTACTGCTGCTGGCGTTGTCAAGAGCAGTGTTTTTGTCGACAGCAGCAGCGGTGCATGTTCATGTGTTGTCCACAGCAACTGGTGCTGCTGGCGCTGCTGCTGTTGGTGTCGATAGCAGTGTTTTGGTCGACAGCAGCAGCGGTGCATGTTCATGGTTCTTGTTTAGACATTCCAAAACACTGTTTGCTGTTCGTTGTTGTCGACAGCAGCGGTTCACTATTTGTTGTTCAACTGCTGTTTGTTGTTGTCGACAGCAGCGGTTCATGTTCATGACGCCCCTCCCGCCCTCTGTCGTGATTCCCCTCTTGCGCATTCCCCTCTTGCGTGCCCAGGCCGAGGCGCAATTGCCAACCAAATATTCGTTTGGTAGACCAGGTTGGAAGCACTCTAGAGCGCGTGACCAGAGGAAGCCGTGGGAGAGGACGTGGCAGAGGGACAAGGGGAAGAGGGGGGGAGAGGAGACATGAAATGTCACCCGCCACGCGGGACAGGGAGAGAGAAGCAAATAGGAGGCGAGAGTCGGAGAGGAGAGATGAGATGTCGCCCGGCACACGGGACAGGGAGAGGGCGGCAGCCACAAGGACAAGGTGGACAGCGCGAGCCAATTTCACCCCTGTGCGTGAAGACATGGTCCGTAGAAGGGAGAACGAAAGGAGGATGAGGTTACGAGAGCGTGCTCCGCGCAGCATCCGCTTCGAAGACGACGACGAGGATGGCGGAGGGGGTCGGCAGAGCGACAGGTCGCATCTCTTCGATAGGTTCAACATCGAGGCCGAGGAGGTGAGAAGTCCGCGATTGTTTGTTTCGGGATAGTGACATAGGAGCATGGTTGTGTCCTTTGTGATGCATGACGAACAATTGCCAAGCGTCCACTTTGGTCGTTTCCTCGCTGTCGCCGACGAACAGATGCGGGAGCGCATGCGTCGGTTCTTCGAGGCCCTGCACAGGTATCGGCCGGTTAACTGCCCGACTTGCCACGAGCAGTGGCCTACGGACAGAACACTTCCGGAAGAAACGCCGGAGCGCAATGGGGTGCCCGAGATACAGAGCATGAGGTGACTTGAAGTTTGGCGCACAAACGTCTTCGTGTTGTGAGCATAGTAATGGAATGTTACCCCTGCACGTGTGCCATGACAGAGTCTAGGCTACAACCTTGTTTGACGCAAGTTGGGCGTGCGCTTCCCCCTTCCCGCGGCCTGTGTATTGCAGGTGTTCCAATGATCTCGTTGAGCGCAGGCGGCAGCCATCGCTCCCCCAAGTCGCTAAATTCGGCGAGGTGAACCGCACGGTGCCGCCTCCTGTGCCGGGGTATATGCAGAACCTCACCATGACGGAGGAGATGCTAATTGCCAGGGCTTCCCCGGTGGTCAAAGTTGTCCGGCTGGCGGGGGGGATGCACGGGTACGAAGGGCATGTGCTGAGCATGGGCCAGGACATTGGGGAGTTCGCCACACGACTGCCCTGGCTTCCGACGTCGGAGGAGATCCCGGTGGTCATCGTTCAACCACCGGAAGGCGGGAGCTGGGCAGGTCGAAATTTCAAGGTGAACCTGGCAAGAGTCGAGGGTGCGTTGCTTTACCTAATTCGGCACAGCCCGGCGTACAGGGGCATCGTCCACATCGACATGGCCCGGCTGAGGGAGAGATTGGGGGGTCTCGAACGCGACGAGAACGTTGACGTTGACGTCATGCATCTCTTCCACACCATAACTGACGACAACGCCGAGGACGACGCCGGCGACGACGGCAATGGCGATGGTAATGGTGGTAGCGGCGGTGATGAACATGGAGATGGGGAGGGCGATGGTGAGGAGGGTCGACGTCCACGGTCGAGGGTTTGCGGGGTGGAGATCGCGCCCAATCTGCTGGAGCTCGACGACATAGCCGACGACCCCGAGGGAGCTTCGGAGCTTAGGGCCCGTCCTCGTCGAGGACCTACGGAGTCTTTCGTCAAATCCGCGAACGTGCGGCAGCAAAGTGAGGAAGACGCTCTGAGGGAGGCGTTGATGGATATCACCGGCTATCGTGGGGACGCGGCGGGCGAAGCGTCTTTCGAGTACCCGCGGAGGACGGGGCCGGTGCGAGAGGACACGCCGTGGTTGGGGAGTATGTGTTTCCCCACCCTCTTTCCAAAGGGTGTTGGAGACCCCTTTGGAGATGCCGGAATGCGCAGCGTTTCCTTTGTCCACTTTATTGCACATCTCATGAAGTTCGTCGATCGCCCGGAGGGAAGAGCACCTCACTACCGCTTCGCCAGTCATCGCACGTTCCGCTACTGGGCCCTCGATGTGAGGTTGCGGAGGCAAGCGAAGCAGCAATGCCGTGTTTTTCTCCGCAACCACGAGGGCCTCGTCAACCTCGACCCCACCGACGTCGACGACGGCACCATCTCCCAGCTTATGCGCATCGCCCTGCGATATGTCGCCAACGTTCCAGGGACCGATGGATACTGGATGCGGTGGCAGGGTAAGTTGGAAGATTCCCTCAACCAGCTCCAATCTTTGACGACGTTCACCACGTACTCCGCCGCCAACCACCACTGGTACGACCTCTTCCGACTGATGCCGGCCAGTGGCCCCGAGCCGGCACCAGGAGAGGGTGGTTTAATCAGGCCCGTAGCGGAGAGGACGCGACCCCTCATCGACAACCCCCACTTGGCGGACTGGTGGATCTGGGAGAGAATGCACAAGCTCGACGAAATATTCCTCGGAAACGCCATGGCGGATGCCTCCTGGTTTTGGATGCGGGCTGAGTGGCAGAGCCGGGCGAGCCTGCACATCCACGGCATGAGCTCTTGGAATTGCGAGGGAGACCGGCGGGTGACAGAGCTCTCGCGCACTTACCTCAGGGTGTACATCGCTCGACGGCGAAGGGCGACGGAGGAACCCGACCCGCGCGACGATGACCCGCCGGACGATGGGGGCGTGCCCGATGAATTCGTACGGGTGCAGGAAGACATCGTTCGTTTCTTGGAGAAAGTCGGCTTTACCGCTCGCAACCCCTCCCTACCGGCCGACGATACGCCCGTCGGCGAGGAGGCCTGTGCCCGAAGCCGCGAGGAGCTCGAGAGGTATATGCGCGACTTCCCATGGCACGACGTCGACGAGTGCCGGAGACGATACGCCAACCTTGTGAATGGCGCACAGAGGCACACCAAGTGTGGGCCATACTGCCTCAGGAATGGGCGGTGTCGATTCGGCTTTCCCAAGAAACGCGACGGACGCATGCGCCTCGACCCGCACCCGCTCACGGGAAATCCCACGGACGACCCCAACGACTACCACGTTGTCGTCACCCCTCCGAACGCTTCGCCCCCCGCGGAGGGACAGCGCGGGCCGGGTCCCTGCAACCGTTCTGTTAACCGTCACGTCCAGTCGCAGCTGCTCGCGTGGGGGGCCAACACGGACTTCTCCCCCATCGTTGACCACGGGGGAGCTGCGACGTACATGGTGAAGTATGCCAGCAAGGGCGAGTGCAGCAGCAAGGAGGCGAGGAAGATGTTGCTAACCCTCGTCCGCGACGCTGCAGACCAGCTCCCGGATGGCCCTGAACGCCTGAGTCTGCCCCAGATAATGCGCAAGATCATCAACTGCGCCACCACGCGAAGGGACATGGGGTTTCAAGAGGTCATGCACATGAACCTGCAGATTCCCATGGTCTTCAAAAACGTCGAGTTCGTCAGAGCCGCCACGCAGAACACGGACGTCGAGGTCGAGCGAGGAGCGCCCGAGGGAGGACTGCGCCCTGTGCAGGGACTGCTCGAGGCGTACGCCCGGCGAATGGAGGAGAGCGAGTGGGCACCGGAAGGGAGGAATCGGCCGTCAAACGCCGTCCTGAGCGCCATGAACTTCTTCGAATTCGCCGCCACCTTCAAGACCCACAGGCAGCAGAAGATCGTCGCCCACACGAGGAAGAACCGTGTCGTCACATTCCAGCCCTACTTCTCCCATTCCACCACAAGCCCGGCATACCCCGATTACTGCCGCAACCAGCTAGTGAAGTATCGCCCATGGACGGGAGAATTGTCCAACGGGTGGGGAGGGCAGCCGGGGGAAGCGGCCGACACGAACGACGAGGCTGCCCGTGAACACATAAAGACGCAGTGGCGTTCCTGGAAGGGCGCGATGAGGCTGCTTCCTAGGGAGCATCAGCCTTACGGCTTCTCTGCGCGGGATCTTGACACCGAGCGGCGGAGGAGTCAGCCGCGCGGAGGGCGCGACAACGAACCACGTGAGCTCGACCCCGACGACGACGAAGACCTCGACTTCCTGCAACGGAACTTGCCCGACCCTGGCCAAGATGACGATGTCCTCCGCCGCTGGGACGACGGGCGTGGTGGTGTGCAGCCCGACTGGACACAGAACAACTGGAGTGAGGGTGCGTCGGCGTGGGTTCGTCAGCATGCGGCTGCGCCGGTCCCTCGCCCGGGGGGTGATGCCGGCGCCGCCGCGGGTGGAGCGAGGGACTCTTGGCCACAGCTCAACGACGAGCAGGCCCTTGCCGTCAGGTAGGTCAAAGACTACGCCCGGCGCCTTGACGCGCACCGGGAGGCCGCGGATGCCGTGCGCGAACACGGCGGTGATGGCGGCGCAGGTGTGCCTGAACTTCCACAGCCACTGAGGATGTTCCTCACAGGGACCGCCGGCACCGGGAAGACGGTTGTCATCAGGGAGATGGTTCGGCAGTTGGGGCGTCAACGGTTCCTGCTTTTGGCGCCGACGGGCAACGCTGCTTGCGCCATTGGCGGAGAGGTGAGTGCTCCAACAAATTGTTCGACATGCCGTTAGTCTGGCACTACTCCTCCCGTCCATATCGGGACCTAAAAGTCGGAAAATGCTTATTGACTTGGATCAGTATGAATTAATTAAAATAACAAAGTAAAGTGCGCAATATGGTGTGTTTCTAATAGTGAACTGGTTTTTTTTTCATTTGTTGATGTTTAGGGCACGAAACGCACGCATATTACCATCCCTCTGCCTAAGCGTAGTGCTGTTGGTAGTCCTTTAACTTTAGAAAGGCGTAAATCATGTAATTATTAAATGCTTGCCCTGTAGGGTAGCGGTCGTACACAGCTCGTCCGAACTCCTGCCCCGAGTCCGAACATTAGTGCGCGCGTTTCTTTTGAAAAAAAGGGATGATACTCGCGTGCTTCGACTTGCTCGGGCGGGTGATTTCTTACAAACTCCTCCATATCCCCTGCTCAAAACCAAAAATTGATTAATTAATACAAAAAACACACATATACATATTTTGTTCACCTTCCCTGTGTGTACACCGTTTCCTCCACTTCCTTCTCTGTTCCACCTCCTACAGTTCTCCGCCCTCTATCACACCCACATCTTCCACCCCTTCATGGCCGTCAACACCCCATGCCGTTTCACCTTTTGTCCCTCCCTTCTCATCATCGTTTCTCCTATTGCGTGACGCAGACGATCCACACCGGCCTAAGGGTCGGCGTGCAGAACCGCCCGAGGGGGGACCTTGGCGAAATAAGCGAGAGCGCTCGGAGGGATCTCCAGCAAAAGATCCAAGGAGTGGACTTCGTGCTCGTCGACGAGTTCTCCATGATCGGCCAAGACATGCTGGGGATGATGAGCGTCCGCCTCAAGCAGGCCGTGGAAGGACGGCGGACCTACTGGGTCGACGACCGACACCTTGGCCTCTTCGGTGGGCTGTGCATCATTATGGTGGGTGACATCATCCAGCTTCTCACTGTGGCGCAGTCCCCCATGTGGACGTCCCGCCCTCAGAGTTCCGCTCTCTCGGGGCAAGGCCTGTACGCCTGGTTGGGCATGAACGCCGCCGTCCAGCTGACGCAAGTCATGCGCCAGCAAGGGGCGGCGCAGGCCGCCTTTCGTGAGACTCTGCTTCGTATCGCGGAAGGCGAGGCCACCGAGGCGGATTGGAACACTCTTCGCCCACGCTTCACCACTGCAGTAGACGCTGCGGAGAGGGAATCCTTTGACAACGCCGTCCACATCTTCCCAACGAACGGAGCCGCGGACGACTGGAACTGGAGACGCCTCCAGGCCCTCGGCACGCCCATCGCAAGGATTGACGCCGACCACTCCATGCATGGGTACGCCCATATCCCGTCCGACAGGTTCCGAGGTCTGGAAGGGCAGCTTTTTCTCGCCGTCGGTGCCAGAGTGTTCATCAACAACAACGTCTGGACATCAGGCGGCCTCGCCAACGGAGCCGCCGGCGAGGTGGTGCACATGCAGTGGGCGCCCGGGACGCAACCGCCAAGCCTCCCGGAGGTCGTTTGGGTGCGCGTAGAGAACTACAGGGGGGAGCAGTACTTCAGCGAGCCCCTGGAGAGGCCGTGGGGGGGTCGGGTCGTTGATCTTCGCAACGTCGTCCCAATATCCCCCATTGACGCCCCCGACGACCACCCACCGGCAGCTCTTCGCCGCCGCGGGGGAGGGGCCAACACAAACGCCCAAGGCCGATGCATTAGGACGCAACTACCCCTCATGCTCGCTTTCGGCATTACTATCCACAAGAGCCAGGGGGCGACCCTCCTGCGTTGCTTCTTGGACATCGGCGAGCAGGAGAAGAGCGACGGGCAAACGTTCACGGCCCTCAGCCGGTGTCGGGCACTCGACAACATGCTCCTGCAGCCCTTATTCTGCTTGGAGCGCCTCCAAAGAATCGGCACCAGCCGAACGTTCGGAGCGAGGCTTGACGCACTTCATCGCGTTCGGGAGCTCGCCAACCAGACGCGCGTCCAGAACGAGCTTGACGCGATCGACATACCGCCACGTCGCCACAGGCCCGCCGCCCCACCTCGGATGCCTGGACGACCTCGTGGGTCAGGAAGGGCTTCCAGACAGCCAGCTGGAGGGAGTGGGGCTCCAAGGGGCCGAGGGCAGAGTGAAGGGCCCGGGCGTGGCGGGGGCGGGTAACCTCCTCGCTTCCCTCCCCCTGCACCGCCGACGCCCTCATGGACTGAGTACGCCGAGCGAAACGTGCAATTAGCTTCCACGGACTCTTGGCTGTACGTGCCGTTCCTCGCCGACGCCTTCGGTCTCGGCCCACCAACGCGGTTCACGCCGCCGCCCTGGTGGGAGCAAGGTGTCCTCCACCATAGGCAGGTGCTCATTGCCCATGGAGTCCACGCTCTGTCCTCTGATGAACTCGACGGAGTTACGGACAATGGCCCCGGCCAAGCGTTGTTGGGGTTCGGCCGCTGGTACATCGGGGCACAGCAACAAGAGCAATGGATGGGGCTGGGGCCCGTGGGGCAAGCGCTGGGTTTGCACGCCGTGGACGCTAGAGCAGCAGTGAGCCAGGCTATCGCCCAGCGCGGGCCTGGCGCAGTCACCGCGGAGCACCTGCGGGACCTTCAACCTCCGGCCCTTGGGTGATATTCGTAATGTTAGTGTTTCTTTTTGTCGTTTGTTTGCGGTGCACATGTATCGGATCCACATTTCCGATTCGCATCAACAACATCGCATCAACAACATTTCGGGTGTGTGTACCGAAACGAAAGCAACACATATTCACGGGGGGCGCACGACCCAGCCTACTGCAGGTACTTTCCGCAGCACGGGTTATGCTGTTGTGATGGTGCGCGCGGAAAAAACTCCCCCCACTCGGGGTCTAGTAGATGGGTCCTTTTTGTTTCCCCGCCTGGGTTCTGCGCACGTTGAATAACACCGCCTGTCAGCCCGACCCCTGAATTAATTACTGTTCTCGAATTGATGTCCGGTGTGTGTGTGTTCGCACCACCTTTGCACCGATAAACAAGCCGTTTGAGGATCGTTTTCGGTGCGGAAAAGTGCACAAGCTGTAGCGTAACAAGGCCATCATTCCGCACCCAAGCGTTTCTCATTTCGTGCCCGCGTCGCTGCGTTCGGTGCCGATATGTACTCTAGTCTGTTCACAATCCGTTTCATCGANGTGTGTGTGTGTTCGCACCACCTTTGCACCGATAAACAAGCCGTTTGAGGATCGTTTTCGGTGCGGAAAAGTGCACAAGCTGTAGCGTAACAAGGCCATCATTCCGCACCCAAGCGTTTCTCATTTCGTGCCCGCGTCGCTGCGTTCGGTGCCGATATGTACTCTATTCACAATCCGTTTCATCGATAACTGCGCCAATTGGCGACGTTCTGCAAAAAAAACGAGTGCCCAAGCCTACTCCTAATAGGTGAACACTTCTCGCGTCGTTGTTTCCTTGCACCAACCCCTAAGTCACTCGTTCACACCGAGTGGCCAACTTTGGCACGTGTTCAGACCACCTACCACGCATCTCCTCCTCTACAGCTCGCGGCTTTCACTATCTGCATATCACAGAGGGTGGTCGCGTGTGATTTGCAGACCACGACAACAGGGCGTAGTGAGGAGGGGCTCGCGATCGGCGACAACTCGCGTGCTAGTTCAAATATTCTGCTGCTACTGTGTTCTGAGTGGTGGGACATTTTTTTCCACTTCATTTATTAACGCATACGGAGTGCTGACAACAACGATTCGCATCAACAACATCGCATCAACAACATTTCGGGTGTGTGTACCAAAACAAAAGCAACACATATTCACGGGGGGCGCACGACCCAGCCTACTGCAGGTACTTTCCGCAGCACGGGTTATTATGCTGTTGTGATGATGCGCGCGGAAAAAACTCCCCCCACTCGGGGTCTAGTATTCATTTATTTGTAGACGTCCCGTGCCCTATAGGGGTGTTCCGCGGTAAAGACGAATAGTTTCCACGAGTTTTTCAATGAGCAGCAAGAAATGATTCCCAACCTTTGAAAATTTGTACCAACATCCGTTAGGCCTCGTGGATCACGAAAATATACTTATTTTCCCATTTGGATGTCGTGGTGATGACATATTGATGAATGAGTGGCCAAAATTGGGTGAAAATCGCGTCTGCGGGCCCCCCGAGCAAGATGCAAACGCCTCCGAATCGTATAAATTTTTCAGATTAGGCTAATGTTGTGTTGTACATCAAGAATCCGCCGTCAGAATTTCGATCAGGATCGATGCGGCCGTGATACAGCTACGCACTAATATATATGCGCGAAAGCAGGGATAACCTGGAATTACTAGGAATTACACCGAAATATTCCCCTTCCCGCAACACTCTCCACATGTTGATTCAATCTCTCCTGACTTCGAATTAGGGTCATTTTGGGGTGGGGATCACAAATGTATTGTTGGAATGTCCCAGTTTTGATTTGCAATGGACTTTCAGCTGCTCAAAAGCTGACAGTAGCTGAGCAATTTCAAAATTCCTGGGATTTTGGATTCTCGGTTCCCACGTCGAGTTTTTGTCTGATCAACTTTCTGAGTGGCTCTACCCCCCCTAAATCGGCCAAGCGGAATCGATTGCCTAGGTGAAATGGAGGCGCCGAAATCGGCAACCCGGTGAAAAAAAACAATCAAGGCGATCCAGTCACATTTTTTTTTGTTTCTCGTTTTTTTATGCTTCTAAACGTCGTTTTAGACATGTATCCAAAAGCGGTTTTTCATTTAAGTTTTTCCTCGCCGCGGGAGAGACAATTCGTCTTTACAGCGGAACACCCCTATAGCAGCACGGCCGAACCCTGTTATGCTGTGCAAGTTGTGAACGGGACTGTCACTTTCCACCCCCAGCAGCGAGCACCATTTATCGCGTGCATCTTCAAAAAAAAAAAACGGCCGTGTTCGGTATACAGCAGTAGATTGCTGGACCACCGGTATCATATTGCTGGGCTGTACCCTAGAGGCTAAGCACACCTTACAAGACTAAATGTATCATAGAAATGACTGGTACAACCCTGGTTGTGTCGACACCCTGGCAGAGGGTTCCTGCCCGTGGACCCTGTGGGGACCGATTACCTAGACAGGTGGTCACAGCGTCCATACAGGGTCTATTTGCCTGCAGGTACACACAGGGGTAGCCGAATGGCTACGTGTGTGACCATTCGGCGCGAGAATATTTATTTTTTTCAGACCAAGAAAACCTTGAGCGCAATGAGGGAGAAAGCGAGGAACCGACTGGGAAGGACAGCAACGAGAGCGTGTACGGACGGAGCAGGTCGAGTGGCGTT